AAAGTGCAAAGGTTTTAAACAGGACTTAGTGTGTAAATTAAACGGATTATCTCTTGAGCCTTAGGCAATAATCTAAACTCCAGAGAAGAAATAGAATATGATCACTAGGTAAAAGATACTCGCCCTACCACCACTCCCTTCACTCCTCGCACCCAACCGCTACTCCCTTCACCCCCCCCCCCCTTCCCCCTCTCTCTAATATTAGATCAGTTTCATCTAGAGGTTTAACCCTCAGAGTGCGGGTGTCGTCACGTGTAAGAATCCTCCGCCGTCAATACTCCCGCTGTCATACGACATTTTTTTCATTATAATAATTTACGAGAATTGAATCTATAAATTTATGTAATTAAGAAGATTTTTGGTAATCTAAATACCTAAAGATATTTTTACATAATGAAATTATGAACTTGTTAATACTCACAAAAAGTAATTAACTGGAAGAATTTTAGAGCACGTGATACCATTGTGGCCAAAAACTGACATAGTTCATATAGATAATAGTTGCCGCCTGAACGTGGAGAACTAACGTTGTAGAACATAAGACCTTCCAGCCAGGCACGACCTGATTTCAATACAAAATGAATCAGAAATATAATATGGAATTGTCCGTATGAGTGAATGAGCGGTGCTGGTTAACCTGTTGAGTATGTGATGCCAGTAATTACCAGGTCTGGAGCACAATTTGTGGAAGTTCTGAAGAGGAACTTCATAACAAAACATGTAACAGAGACGCGAGAAAGTGTGGGAGATGCACCTAGTCTACTGGATCTGTAACCGTTATTCATGCCTCAGTGCGTGCCCTTTAGTAGGGTCGTTGGTTTTCTGTTGCTGTTAACAAACTGTGCTCTTGAGGGTAGTGTGTCCCCATGGCCTGCCTCCTACCACCGTAACCGGCGGTGGGGAAACGGCTCTGGCGAGGTTACGTATTGGTCATACACGTTTAATTCATGGGCACTTAATGAAGCGCTGCTCTGCTCCTTATTGTCCAAACTGCATTGTCCCTCTTATGCTGGTGCATATCCTTGATGAATGTCCTGACTTCCAGGACGTGCGTGTGTCTTGCTTCCCGACCGTCCCTCGCGGTCACTTGTCCCTCGATAGAATTCTTGGTGAATCTGATACCTTTGATAATTACTTATGCGCTTTTGTTCTCGTATTGACATCCTTGGTGATATTTAGCGCCTTTTGAACACCTGTAACCTTGATGGTTTGCTACATTGTTCCCCTAGCTTGGCGCCTTCTTTTGATAATTGCTTATTGGATCTACTCTTCACCCAAAATGAGGAAGATATAAACAGTAACATACCACTGGGAGCCAGCGACCATTTTGCCGTGATCTTTGACTATAGGGCTGAATTAAAAATAATGGATATAAGTCAAGAGATCAAAGAAAGGATAATAGACTCCTGGAAAAGAAACACACATTAGGGTAAGAGAACACCTAGGAAATGTGCAATGGAAGATGGAACTTGGAAGGAAGATAGTCCAGGGAATGATGGATCAAATCAGAGCTGCAAAGAGGTTAAAAAAAAGTTATACCAACAATGAGGGTAAAAAGTGTGGGAATACAGCAGCCCGTGATTGAATGGACAATGACAAGAAGCTAAAATGAAAAGCAGGAAGGAATGGACATAATACGCAGAAGAAAACCCGGTATGAAAAGCAATGAAAGTTCCCGCACAAGCAACAGCTGGGAACGAATACATTAACATAAGAGAATCGGAAAAAAGTTATGAAAATTACATTGCCTACAGGACAAAGAAGCAAGTTGCTACGTAGTCGTATGCAAAAATGAAACTTAAAAAACGGTAAATGACCAAGTGACTAGATTATACAAGAGGGAAGAAGAGAGAAAATGAGATGTGTGATGTCTGCTAGTGTGCGCGGTGCTTACACTACCCAGCCACAACAGGTTGCCGCTGCCTAGTACTAGGAGGAGGCAACCCTGGACGAGAGACCAACTGATATAACCAAAACGATTTGGCAGGTTGTATGCCAGGGAAAATTAGGATTAATTCCCTACCTGAAACGATGTGCTTGCTAGTGGCATTACACACCCCGTCCTCCAACAACCCGTCCTCGACTTAGACCGTTTGTCTAAGTTTGTTTTTGTTTGGACCGTCCTCCAAACAAAAACCCAAAGTCAGTTCCATGCACCCGCCAAACCCCATATTTGTGAATGAAAAACGGTTTACACATGACTCAACTGATGACGTCCGAACACTTCCAAGTGCTTTGCTGACTACTATTGTTCAAGCTACAATGCTGTAAATGCTTCACCCAGGTACTATAAATACAAATAATCGCCAACAAAACCTAAATACTTAACCAGTGCCTAAATATTCACAATATGCTAATATATAATAATATTAATTTATTTTTGAGGAAAGTTCAGTTTTGAATGAACAGAAAGTTAAAATTAATGAATGCGTTATGGGGTCGACCGCTGGATAGAATGGACTTGGTCCGAGGACAGGTTGCTTTACAACAATGTAAGAACTCTTGTAAGAACAAAAAAAGACGAAGAATGCAATATACTCCAAGACGGCCTAGACAAATTAGAGTTAGTTCGATAAATGTTTATGAAGAGTTCAAGACAAGTAAGTGTAAGGAAATGGGAACAGGTGCCAGGAACCTAAATATGGAGGCATTTAGATCACCGTACACCGACTATGTGAGACCAGTGTTGACCAGTCGAGGCAGCATACCTCGAGTACGCCGCCTCGTCGTAGGGCTCTCATCTTAAACAAAAAATTACATAAAACTACCAAAGAAATTTAAGATATTTTCAACAAGGCTCATCCTGGAATTGCGAAGGATGGGGATATGAAGAAAGACTGAAAGAATTAGACTTGATATCGCTAGAGAAAAGGAATAAGACAATGATACACTTTAAGGACTGTTCCTGAACAAATAGCCTGGATGTGTCACAACGGAAAGGTTGATGATATTCTTGAGAGATATAAGAATTTTGCACCAAGATTGTAATATTTTGTTGAATTATCTGCAGGTGTCTTGCAAATTGTCTATACAGTATACCTAGGTCATAAAAGTATTTGTGTGTACGTCTGATAACATACTACTTGTGAAGGAGGAAATGTATATGTTTACCTCTCAGAATGTTTGGTAATGTGTTTATTTGTGATGTGTGTCTATGTATGTATGAACACGATGTACTGAACGGGGTGAGAATAGCTTGAGCTACCTCATCCCTTTGTGTGTATTTTACCTCAATAAACTTATTTCAATTTCAATTTCAATGATACACTTATAAAATACTTAAGGGATTGCCAAAGTGGACAAAGCTGTTCAGAGTGAATACCAATAACACAAGAGGGAATGGAAGGAAGCTTGAGGATCAGGCGAGTCATAGAGATAAGAAAATTATATTTAAGCGTAAAAGTAGTGAAAAAATTGAAAGAACTAAATGCTCACCTTTATACTCGAGCAGGTTGTTAGCTATACTCGAGCAGGTTGTTAGCTATACTCGAGCAGGTTGTTAGCTATACTCGAGCAGGTTGTTAGCTATACTCGAGCAGGTTGTTAGCTATACTCGAGCAGGTTGTTAGCGATCTCCATTCATAATGTCAAAAGTATATTTGATAGAAGAATAAAGCAGAGGTCATTGCAATATACAACCAACAGTTAAAAAGGCAGTGTCCAAGAGCTAAAAGCTTAATCCTACCTGCAATGATTGAGTATAGAGGGGGTACCCCGATGGTTCCTGGGCCTCGCTACACCCTCTCCCCTTTTCACTTCCCTCTCCATTCCTCTCTTCTCATATCTTCCTCTCCCATCTCTCTTCCACTCCCCCAACATCCCCCCCCCCCCTTTCGCCTTCCCCGCTCTCCCCTCCTTCCTGCTTTCGCCCCCCCCCCCACTCTATCCCTCATCTCTCTCCCTTTTCCGCTCTTTATCTGTCTCAGAAAAGTAATGAAAAGGTGACAAGTTTAAGGTGACATTCTAAGTTTACCTTTACGAAAAGATGTAAAGGTGTTAAAAACTGCAGGAAACAAGTCCTCGATTCCAGACTTCATCAAAATCGCAGGGAAGTAGGAACCGATATTTTGAAAAGTAGGTAATGGCCACCCCATTACCCTATGAGGCCTCGTAGCCTGGTGGATAGCGCGCAGGACTCATAATTCTGTGGCGCGGGTTCGATTCCCGCACGAGGCAGAAACAAATGGGCAAAGTTTCTTTCACCCTGAATGCCCCTGTTACCTAGCAGTAAATAGGTACCTGGGTGTTAGTCAGCTGTCACGGGCTGCTTCCTGGGGGTGGAAGCCTGGTCGAGGACCGGGCCGCGGGGACACTAAAGCCCCGAAATCATCTCAAGATAACCAAGATAACCCCTGACCAGCCCATGACACTCGCATATCCCCAATGTGTTATCTTGAAAAGTTGGGTGAAGCTAGCCCTAGGCATCTTGTTGTTATAGATTCAGCTACTCGGAACAAGTTCCAAGTAGCACGGGCTATGGTGAGCCCGTAACTTACCTGGCACAGGAGCGGGACAATTAGCACGGGCTAAGGTGAGCCCGTAGTGGACTTACCTGGCACAGGAGCTGTGCCCTCGGGGAACCCTAGGCATCTGGCCTCCAACCTTGATTAATTGATTGATTAAGATTAAGCCACCCAAGAGGTGGCACGGGCATGAATAGCCCGTAAGTCGTCCAACCTTGGGCAGACATTCTCGCATATCTGTCAAGAATGTATAGAACGATTGTACAGTATATATACAAAACAAGTATGAGTGTATAAAAGTGGGGTACCCGGCGTTGGCCGGGCCTGTCTGCCTTCCCTCTCTTTATAAATCTCTACATTGTATCTTTTTGCTATCTATTTCTATTTATTTCTATAATTGTTCTCTAGAGTGAACGTTTTAACACCAATGTAGAGTTATAACCCCAACAATAACTGAGAAACCATAAAATAAAATATGTAAATATGTAATATATGTAGTGAGTAAATGTTGTAATTTGTAATGTTATTTTTTGGCAGAAAAATCAGTGAGCCGTGAAAACGTGACACTTGTGGAGGGTTGGTGCGGGCCCTGACCTCCATGATGCTGCCCCTCTTGCTGCCCTCCCACCTCCTGCTGCTACAGTAAGTGGCACTCTTAAACAATAATAATAATAATAATATTTTATTCAGGAAAACATGCATAGATGCAGAGTTATAAACATAATGTTGGATTAATAGATAGAGCTAGTACATACAATACCTAAAGTCACTAATACGCATAGCGTTTCGGGCAAGATGTGGGGGAAAAAACACTTTGACGAAAACTTAATAGTAATTGGGAGTAGTGTAAAAAATTGTGTTAGAAAAAAGGAATAGAAAAAGAAAAGTGGAAAACATGGTAAAAATCAGCAATTGTACAAGTTGGTCAACAAACAACATTATTTAGAAGCAAGACATGGGTTGACATTTAGGAGGTAAGGTAGGTTACATGGAGTTAATTAGGTAGTACTTAGTTCTACTCTTAAACTGGTTGAGAGAGGTACAGCCTTTGACATAATTAGGGAGGTCATTCCACATTCTGGGTACAGTACCTTGATTTGTAGAGCATTTCTAGTTTGGTTAAGTCGCACTCTTGGAATATCAAATGGGTATTTGTTTCTGGTGTGGTGCCCATGGGTTTTGTTACAACCTTCTAGGAAACTTTTAAGGTCAGGATTGACGTTGCAGTTCTGAGTTTTAAATATATAGAGTACACATGAGAGGATGTGCAGTGGCTTAATATCTAACATATTCAAAGATTTGAGTAAGGGTACTGAGTGATGTCTGGGGCCATAGTTAGATATTGTCCTAATAGCAGCTTTGTGTTGAATAATTAGAGGACGTAAATGATTTTGGGTAGTAGAACCCCAAGCACAAATACCATAGTTGAGATAAGGATAGATGAGAGAGTAATAGAGCGTCACCAGGGCAGGGCGAGGTACATAATATCTGATCTTAGAAAGAATGGCAACAGTTTTAGAAACTTTGTTTGATATATTTAGAATGTGTCCCTGGAAATTCAGCTTGTTATCGATGAGAGTGCCATCCACTTTATTACTAATTTGGATATTGTTTATTTTTAGATTAATTTGATTTGAGGATTTATTACCAAACAAAATATAGAAAGTTTTGTCAATGTTAAGGGTGAGTTTGTTAGCAGTTAGCCAAAGATGGACTTTATTTAGTTCAGCATTCACTGTGACATTTAGAGCAAGGGGGTCAGGACAGGAGAAAATGAAGGTTGTGTCATCAGCAAATAGAATTGGTTTGAGGTGTTGAGAGGCATTTGGAAGGTCATCAATGTAGATGAGAAAGAGGAGAGGGCCACGTATGCTGCCCTGTGGAACACCAATGTTGATGGGTAAGGTGGGAGAAATGGAATTATTCACAGAAACATACTGAAGCCTGTCAGTAAGGTAGGACTGAAGATATTGGAGGGAGTGACCTCTGACTCCATAATGATGTAATTTAAGAAGGTTTTGGTGGTTAATAGTGGCAAAAGCCTTACGTAGGTCAACAAATAACCCAACAGGGAACTAATTTTTATCAAGAGCTGCATGTATCAAGTTAATCATACTAACAAGTGCATCGTTAGTGCTTTTTGGGGGTCTGAAGCCATATTGACAAGAGCTAAGTATATTGTGTATGGCTAGATAAGAGTAAAGCTGCTTGTAGATTAGTTTGTCAAAATGTTTTGACAAGTTTGACTGATATAGGTCTGAAGTTGTTGTCATTCAAGTTCAAGATGTTTATTGAGACAAGAAAAAATGCATCTCAAAGGGATAGAGTAGCTTAGGCATAGTTGTTGACATCAGTGAGATCACCACATTTATGGACTGGGGTTACTCTCGCTTTTGTTTAGAATACCTGGAAAGGTATGGAGTTCAAGTGACTTGTTGTAGAACAATGCAATGGCAGGAGCTAAAAATCTGGAGGCTTTTTTGTAAATTAGTGTTGGTATCTCAGTAAGGGCACTAGACTTCGTTTTAAGGGAAAGGATTTTCTCATTAACATCAGGAATTAGCAGGCGTTAGGTACAAAGACTCTGGATAGTTACCTGTAAGGTGGTCCTTTGACATTAATATGGGAGGATGGAATATCATTAGCAAGGGAAGTCCCAATGGATGAGAAGAACCTATTGAATTCAGGAGCAGTATCAGAGGCTGAAAGCAAACCGTCGTTATTGGATAGGAGTATTGTTTTTTTATTTAAAATCTTTTTTAATCCCAATATTTGGGAAATAGTGTTCCATGTTTTGTTGCCCTTAATTTGGGTGAATTTATTTTCGTAGTATTTTATTTTGGCTCTCCTAATTATTTTAGATAGCACTGATGAGTAAATCTTTGAAAATTCTTTGGAGACGACTCCTAACCTATCCTTCTTCTCAAGGTCATGTTATTTTATTAATAGACTACCTTGAAAACTATCAACTCTCTCTACCTTGGTATTCCTCAGCATCCAACAGTGTTATCTGACACTACTAAGTATTGTTTGCTTGTAGGAGACTCCTGCCTTGTAGACTGTTATTTTGGACCAAAGGATGACACTGGCTGTGCATGACACTCCAATGAGCGTGTCACACTGTGGTCCAAGATATCACTGCCCGTCTCCCACGAGCGTGTCACACTGTGGTCCAAGATATCACTGCCCGTCTCCCACGAGCGTGTCACACTGTGGTCCAAGATATCACTGCCCGTCTCCCACGAGCGTGTCACACTGTGGTCCAAGATATCACTGCCCGTCTCCCACGAGCGTGTCACACTGTGGTCCAAGATATCACTGCCCGTCTCCCACGAGCGTGTCACACTGTGGTCCAAGATATCACTGCCCGTCTCCCACGAGCGTGTCACACTGGTCCAAGATAACACTGCCTGTCTCCCACGAGCGTGTCACACTGGTCCAAGATATCACTGCCCGTCTCCCACGAGCGTGTCACACTTTGTGGTCCAAGATAACACTGCCCGTCTCCCACAAGCGTGTCACACTGGTCCAAGATATCACTGCCCGTCTCCCACGAGCGTGCCACACTGTGGTCCAAGATATCACTGCCCGTCTCCCACGAGCGTGTCACACAGGTCCAAGATAACACTGCCCGTCTCCCACGAGCGTGCTACACTGTGGTCCAAGATATCACTGCCCGTCTCCCACGAGCGTGTCACACTGGTCCAAGATAACACTGCCCGTCTCCCACGAGCGTGTCACACTGTGGTCCAAGATATCACTGCCCGTCTTCTAAGAGCGTCACACTGGTCCAAGATATCACTGCCCGTCTTCTAAGAGCGTGTCACACAGGTCCAAGATATCAATGCCCGTCTTCTATGAGCGTGTCACACTGTGGTCCAAGATATCACTGCCCGTCTCCTAAGAGCGTGTCAAAACAGACACTTTTTTACCCATGTGGTTATAATCCCATGGAACTGCTTATACAGTATTCGCCAAAGCCTTAAATGCCAAAATCCAGATAGAAAATAATCCTCGGGCCCCAAATGGTGACTTTCGAAAAGCCTCCAGCGGGGTCCAATTCCATGGTGGCCTTCAGGAATTTAGGTTAATACTGTATACAAAAAAAATGTCAAACATCATTTGAATAACCAAAATTCATAGAATATAAGCAGGAGAGCTTCCGAGCCTGGTAGAGACCAAGCCACGTGGTACAGTAACTCCCTGAACCAGCAAAAGGTAGGCTGTAATCTTAAATTTTAGTCCATATTTGCACTGAAAGCATGTTTACCATTTATGATAGGTTCAAGTTGACCCAAGTTGTTGATGTGTCTGTTAAGCCATGAGCATGTACTTTTTTTCAATAGTAAATATTTGTAACTATCCACTATTAATATTATCATATTTTATGTTTACACCAAAGTTGTAACTAAGTATCATGTATTCTTTGAAGAAAAGATTGATATTAAGTACAATTATGAAAACATGCAAAATAAAAAATCCTGTACTGTAGGGGGTACTATACTGTAGGATAACTAAAATCAATATAATATGACTATAGAAGATGGTGATAGGTTTTCTTATGTAAATAAAAGTGCTGTTTACTGTTTGGCCTTCTGTGTTGATATTGTGCACTATTTTGACATGTAATTATAAGCCATGTTGACAAAATTGGAAGCTGTATTACTTAATACAATACAATACAGTTACTGGTGTATTCTTTTCAGATTCATCTTTTGTTTCATATGTAGAGCAGATACTGTCATATAACAGCTAGGTTTTGGTAATAGCTAGGTTTACTCTTAAGCCAGATAAAATGTCAGTACATGAGGACAATGGTCTTGTTCTAGAGTGCTAAGAGTGGTGGTAGTGATGGTGTCAGGTGGGGTAGTGGGAAGCAAGGCAAGTCCCACCTCCACCTTCTTGATGGTGGCACAGGATGTGGAGGTGCCCAACCTGCACACCACCATCATGACACCTACAGCCTGTGCCCTCGCCTGTTATGCTGCTGGCACCCACCACTGTCTAGGGTTTCTCTGGCGGCCATTCCTCGCCTCCACGGTCAGTAGTGCTCTTATGCTAGATATCTCCCACTAAATGTCTGTCATTTGGTGTAAGCTTGTATAAGTAATTTATTTGTAAGTCTACACATTACATTGCATATGTTTTGGTAGTAATAGAAAATAATTCAAAATGATGGAAAATAATTTGAGTTCGTGATATCAAGGACTTGTTGAATTGTTGTAATTTTTGTGCAGTATTAAAATTTTAATTGTCATCATTAATTGTCTAGGTGCTTGGAAATTTACTGTGATTCAATATTAATATTTTAGTTTGTTAATAGACTGAAAATATGAATAACAAATAAATGGTAGTGATAAAGTGCTGGTTAATTGTTTATAAGTTTTGCTAGTCCATACTCCATCAGTGATAGTCCTGATATATTTTATTTCACACAGGGGACCCATAAGGATGAGTGTGACAAAGAAAGGGAGTCATGTGGTAGGTCCATGGACGGTCGGTGTGGTCTTCTGCAGTGCATCCCTAACCCCTCTAGCCTCAGGTTCTTTCCTGGAGCCCAGATCTTTCTTCTAAGAGGACAAAACTCCCCTGCCTTTGGCTCCATCAAAGGTTTGTATTGTACGGCACTTGTTCTTGCTAAAAAGTGTAGTCTTACTGGAAAACGTTGCTTGCTTGGTCTTGCTGAAAAGTGTAGTCTTGCTAGAAAAAGTTACTTGCTTGGTCTTGCTCAATGTTAGTGCATTGTAGATCAACAATATTGAGTACTTGGGCCCTCAGAATTAATTTAGACTGCAACAAATGCATTTGTTCAAAAACACTGCTTCTCCCCAACTTACCACTTGCCCCATCACTAACACAATTGGCAGCAACATGTGAGTCGGTCCCCCACAACCAACTCGCAGCATCCAACTCCTGTAGCCTTATTACAAGGCAATTTTGCAGTTTGTGCACCCATCCTCGTCACTGGTAAGGCCACTATCCTTACCAACAGTCTCATCCCCTCTTTCTCATTGCTAGTGTATGACTTGTCCTCATTATTCACTGTTCTCTGATTGTTATTCCTTTTTGCTGTATTTACCACTCTCTTAATTTGCATAATTTTCAGGTTGACTTCTATCATCATTACGTGCACTACTAAATGCTTTGCTGCCCTGTTTTCAGCTCCTGGTAGTTATACAATGGCATGCACTTTTGCATATAGAGTGTACAGCAAGATTCTACTTGGCTATGATGAAGCAGAGCGTCGCTGTGCTCAGGACGGTGCACAACTCATTGCTATCAAGGTATGTACGAGCAACCCGTCTTCTCACCTAATATGTTACATATTTAACAGACTCTACCAATCTGCTGAAAATGCGATTTATTAGTAAAAATTCAAGCATTTATTGATATTTTTTTACACATTGGCTTCGATAGGTTAGGTAGTTTGCTTGGGTTCATTAATTTCTGGTTGGCAAAACAGTTGCATTTTTATGAGTAGCAAATTGAGAGAATGGACTTGTGTATGGCCTCTTACCTATTCATGTTTATTTATTTTCTAAAATCAGATATTATGTATGTCACTCTGCCCTGGTAATGCTTTATTACTCTCTCATCTCTTCTTATCTCACATATGGTATTTGTGCCTGAGGTTCTACTATCCAAAATTATCGATGATATCTAATTACTCAACACAAATCAGCAATTAGAACAATAACGAACTCAAGTCCCAGACAGCACTTGGCCCTTACTTAAATCTTTGAATATGTTAGATATTAAGTTGCTACACATCCTCTTAAGTGTACTAACTATATATATACACTGTGTATACAGTATATATATATAGATAGAGTAGTCTGATACATCAACCAGCCTTTTAATGACTTGTCATCTATTTTTAGAATTGTGTATGGAATTTACCTTCAACATTCCCCACTATTGTTCATCCTTCTTGTTTAGTACTTCTACAGTAAATATAACATTCCTTATATTCCTCTAGCTAATCTTCATTTGTAATTTCCACCTTTGTCTTCTCAGTAGCAACAAAAAGTCTTTGTCCAGTCCGTCTAATTACCCGAAGCTACCCAAATCTACTCAAAGCTACCCAACGCTTCCTAGCATTATGTAAATAATGAAGAACTATGTTATATTTACTCACTATAATGTTGGTGCTGAATGAAGAACATGAAAAAAGCATATTTTTACTCTGAAAAATATAATTTTATAACGAAATTAGAAGCAACTAAGTGGCAGGTGACGCCACAGGAAGTCAACGATACAGGCAATAATGTTGTGGCTTTGAGTAATTAGATGGATGCAATTTCGTTATAAAATTATATTATTTCAGAGTAAAATTATGTTTTTTCATGTTCTACATCCAGCACCAACATTATACTGAGTAAATATATCATACCTCTTCATTACTTACGTAATGCAAGGAAGCTTTGGGGTAGCTTTGAGTTGATTTTTGGTAATTAGATGGACCCTCTTTGTTTATGCTTCATAAAATGTCTCTTGTCTATGCCTACCTCTTCAAGTAGGTAGGTTAAATCTTGTCAGCCTATATTGTAATCATGTATCCTTTAGTTCTTCCTCTTCCAACGATATTAGTCTCAACTTTCACGGATTGCCCTCTTATCAAAATTTTCTAGGTCCTGTTTATCATCCTTGTGGCAAATATTTTTATCTCCTCAAATTTCTTTTTATGTTGTAAAAATAGTGGGTTCCATGCAGAAACTGCATTATCTATGGCTGGTCTCACAAAGGCTGTGTACATTTTTTTGAATGATTCATTATCTAGGTTCCCAAATGTCATTGTTAAGTACAGTATAGCAATCTAGGAATTATTTCCCTATCCCCACTCTCTATCCTTTCTCTCCATCTCCTCTTCCCCCCTCAATCATTTTCCATTTTCTCTCTTCTTCTCACTCCTTATTCTTCCTTCTCCAACTCCTTTCACTTTTAAAGCCAATATAGTACTGTAAAAGCAAATAATATTAAGAAAACTATTAAGTTAAAAGAAAAATCATTCAGATAAATTATGTGATTAAAATATAAACTGCAGGGAATTAACTTTCAAAAGAACTTACAAAATTAAATACAGTATTAATTCAAAAATCTAAATATAGGGGATAAATAAAATTGGGTAAATTAAATAACTGTAAATTCTAACAATATCATTACTGTACAGTACAGTTATTTAACATAATAGAAATCCTCAATATTACCTGAGCCTGCTCCAATACACTCCTTGCAGTTATTGGCTACTGTATCTCTGTAAGAATGCTTTATTATTTTCAATGAATTACAGTTCTGTATTATTATCATTATTGATTTTTTCACATAATTTGTACTATCCATGGAGATAGTACAAATAGGCCTGGAGAACAGTTTAACACATTGACTTTAAGCTCTCAAGACTTATGTATGGTGCTACAATGAAATCCCAATTTGTATTAGGTTATGCAGTATAACCCTTTGTTGGCATGTTTTAGAGTAGTTTTAATAATCATTACTTAAGAGACCTTGAGTGATATCTTGAAAACAAATAAGCACACAATAGCACCAAAAAAAATTCTCGCATTCTTAGATTCCAGGCGTGGGAAATTTCTAACCACAAGACCCAGTGGGCAAAAATATATTAGCTCAAAATTACCCTTATTGGTTGCATGCCTTATTCAAAGCCAGTAATTGCATAAATATGAAATCCACATCATGGAGAAGCTATGGCAATGAAATTAGTTAATTTAAAGTATCAAGGAGGCAAGATGTAACAAGAAAGAATAAATTTCTTAAATGAATTTGAACATTTGCATTTCTTGTCATTTTACATATACACCAAGTTAAACTAGATGTTTGTTTAGACCAGAGGTTTCCAAATTGTGCTCCATAGAACCATATAGGGTTTCACAGAAGTTTGAGTTCTATAATGTGTTTTTTGTAAGAGATTGAGAGTGCAAGAAAGGTGGGATAAAAGAATCTCTGAAATAGATATATTTAAATATCTGATTCTGCATGTTTTTCTCCATAAAAACTGTCCCAAAATTCAAAGACCCCAACAATTTTCTGACACACACTAAAGTTAAGAAATATTTTATGCCTGCAACAGAAATATTAGATTGGATTGTGTTCAAAATCCTCTTGTTACATCTGGAATAAACATTGAAAGAGAAGGACCAACATGCTAACATTAAAAACTAAGTTTCTTAAATATTAAATTGAAATAATACATTTCTGGTTTACTTTTCCAAAGAATAGCAGGCAGTTGCAAATTGTGCTTTAATACAGCATGTGTTTTACAAAGATATCTCTATGAAGTTCATTCTTTCAATACAGCAGCAATCTGCTCTTCCAGTAAAGAGCAATTGCTCTACATATTTTATATGGAAGGAAAACCAATTTTACCCAACCCAATTAACTTTTTTAATACATTATATATATATATATATATATATATATATATATATATATATATATATATATGTCGTACCTAATAGCCAGAACGCACTTCTCAGCCTACTATTCAAGGCCCGATTTGCCTAATAAGCCAAGTTTTCATGAATTAATGTTTTTTCGTCTACCTAACCTACCTAACCTAACCTAACCTAGCTTTTTTTGGCTACCCAACCTAACCTTATCTATAAATATAGGTTAGGTTAGGTTAGGTAGGGTTGGTTAGGTTCGGTCATATATCTACGTTAATTTTAACTCCAATAAAAAAAATTGACCTCATACATAGAGAAAAGGGTTGCTTTATCATTTCATAAGAAAAAAATTATAGTAAATATATTAATTCAGGAAAACTTGGCTTATTAGGCAAATCGGGCCTTGAATAGTAGGCTGAGAAGTGAGTTCTGGCTACTAGGTACGACATATATATATATATATATATATATATATATATATATATATATATATATATATATATATATATATATATATATATATATATACAGTATATACTATATATACTTTATTTTTTAAGTTTTGCCTATTGCAAATATTTTCAACAATTCTTATAACTTTACAATTATTTTAACAAAAATTATTTATTTAATTTTTGTTATTTTTGAGACTTTCCAATAACAATACTGGAAAAAGTATTTATAATTTATAACAATTTATAAAAATTATTAATAATTTTATAAACTTTATAATTTAGAAATTTTATTTTATTTTATAAACTGTGTAAATAAAGCATACAAAATTTATAACTGTGTAAATAAAGCATACAATTAGCATACTGTATACAGTATAATGTTTTATTACCACCTTTCTGACATCCTTATGATGCTGCGGCTTTGATTTCTGGATATTATTGTTTATATAATGGAATCTGTGGTTCACATTGAGAGCCCCTGGTCTAGGCAAACGTGAAACTAAATATGAACCGTTTCAATACCAGATACTAAAATTTGAGTTAATTGAATCATGCTAGATGTTTCAATAATTTTTTATGTGAATCTTATAATGATCGAGGATGAAGGACCAAGTGATATTGCCGAGTTGTTCCGATCAGCTTTTTGAACATACAGTATTCATTCATAATAAACCATCACACATTAGCAGTGTGATAAATACATTCATGATAAATTCTTTAGGATTATGGCAGCCTATATTGCATTAAATAATCTGATAAGGTGATGGTAAGACAATTTGACCACTACTGTTTAGTGCAGGAATGATATCTGCCTGCCTGGGGCATCATTGGAGCTTAGTCACTGTGATATACATGTGCTAAAAGGACATTAAAATATCACTCAGTATAGTTTTGGCTTTCCAAGCACCTACAACATCTTTCATTACTGTACTTAACAATGTCTCAGTGTTTACTACAATTTTAAAGTAAGAGTTAGGTTACATTTCATTTTAACTGTTAAGTGGTTTTATTCCTGATTGTTAGAAAATGGAACACTTCCAGGATGATGTTTATTCATCAGGTTTAACTAAAGAGAGTTTTAAACTCTCTTTAGTTTCAGCTACATAACACCTTACGTAGTATGCTTTTGCAATCTTTGTAACTTGTTATTGGGTGTTTGCATTAAAAAATCATAAGATATTGGCAGACATCATGATGAGTATCAGTACCAAATCAAGAAGAATTTAAGTGAAAGCTCATTTTGGTAACTAGCATATTTATACTCAAATAGTAATCAAATAGTACTTGCATATAAGGTGCAGAAGAGACCTTTTGGTACAAATCTATATGTACTTTCATTCAGCAACCACCACCCATGTCCCACTATTAACACTGGTACGGTCACAGAGTGTGGAGCAGCAAGAGGTGGTGCAGAGGAGCATACAGCAGAGGGAGGCTCACTGGATTGGCCTGAGTGACCGACACAAGGAGGGTGATTGGCTACTTTCAGATGGTGAGTCCCATTTTCCTCCCTGCCTTCCTATTTTCCTTCTGTCTCTTATATTTTTCAAGTGCTGCTTATACTGTACATGTAATTTTTTTGTGATCCAAAATTCCTTGTGAGAGTGTCCCAAAAACTGTGTGGGAATATGAGAATATCTTGGAATGTTTGAGGGTGTAAGAGTACATGTATAAATAAAGCACATGATGGTATTCTCAGGAAGCAAGCCTACCTACATGAACTGGGACTTGGGGCAGCCTAACAACTACGAGAAGTATGGCCAGGACCAGGATTGTGTTATGCTCTTCCAAGGTGCTTGGAATGACAACCAATGTGACCAGAAACTTCGCTTCATATGTCAGATTACCTTCCTTGAGCTCTGAAGCTATTGCAGTATATTACTAGTTAATGTTACAATGACAGGTTAAAGGAACTCTAGCTAAGATCCCTAGAGTAGAGAGAACAAAAGGAAATGTAATCATTACATTCAAAGTATTGGGGTGAATAGACAAAGTGGACAAGGACAGCCTTTTCAGATTGAGGATAAATAGAGGATATAGATGGAACTGGAAATGCAAATGGGCTAGAAAGAAGTGGGAAAACGCTTGACACGGTCAAGGTGTTCAACAAGTGGAATGCTTTGAAAGAAGTGAAAATCGCCTCCATCTACAGATTCAAGAACATATATGATACGAATATAATGACAAGATATTTAAACACACCAGTTCCAAATAACTAGATGGGGCCCAGAGAATACTAGGTTTCTCTTTTGGTAGGCACTATAGGGCAGCGTATACATATGTGCAAAAACACGCACACACATACACACATTTCTTTTGCAAACAGATTGGTAGACAGTTGGAACAAGTTAAGTGAGAAGGTGGTGGAGGCCAAGACCGTCAGTAGTTTCAAAGCATTGTATGACTAGAGTGCTGGGATGACAGGACACCACTAGCATAGCTCTCATCCTATAACTACACATGGGTAATTATTCACAAACACTAACCTCCTCTATTATCCAAAGCAACCACCATACATGAACATAATGGTCAGATAAGTGGCTACTAGAATTCAGTTCAACAAATGCAAGACAATGAAAATAAAAGAACCATTTAACAGTACATCCTAAGATGAGAGGCAGCTTGTAAATTTAGAAAGATAAAATAATTAAAAATAATAATAGGAATAATTCATTGTATCGGGGACAGGCAGCCAGTGTGTATATACATGTTGGGCTTTTATTGCAGATCTTTTCCCAGGTGGAACTACTGATCACCCAAACGATGCAACCACAACAAGCTAACTCCTGGGTACCTATTTACTGCTAGGTGAATGGGGGTATTAGGTGACAGGAAACACACCAAACTATTTCTGCTCCACCCAGGATTCGAACCCGGAATTCTCGATTGTGAGTCGAAAACGAACCCGACTGCACTACCGTGACCCATATAGGTGGCCATGACAGTATGTCACCACACATGCACACAAATATGATAACAGCAGCAGCATATGAGAGCTTATTTATTATTATTAACATCTTTATTGGCAAAATTAATTACAATTTTGCCTAATCTGAAGATTTTGATAAAGTCTTATTAAAGTGAGGATAATGCTGGTATTCACTGTCACGCAGGACAGAGGGTCATACACAAGACAATAGGTCTAAACTGTAGGCTGAAGCACATATATATCATGGTTACAATCAATGTTTTAATGTATGGATATGTAAAAACAACTTTCTATTGTGCACTGCCACACAAGGGCAGGGATGGGTTCATAAGTGATATATGAGAGCTAACATATGTGTGGCTTTCACGAAAAAAAAGGATTCAGCTTTCAGGACATAATACACCACTTAAGTGATGTCACCATCATAATACCTGTACTAATAACCCGTGAAGCACAACACTCAACCACTTGGGCTGGACGGTAGAGCAACGGTCTCGCTTCATGCAGGTCGGCGTTCAATACCCAATCGTCCAAGTGGTTGGGCACCATTCCTTCCTCCCCGTCCCATCCCAAATCCTTATCCTGACCCCTTTCAAGTGCTATATAGTCGGAATGGCCTGGCGCTTTCCCCATGATAGTTCCTTTCCCTTCATGAAGCACAAAAAAAAATCCAAAGATTCACCACAAAGTTACTACCAGAACTACAAGAATTGGGACATCATAAGCTGAAAGAACACTAGAGAAAATCAAAGATCTAATTGCATTATATAAAATATTTCTCGCTAATGTACAAGTAAATTTGTTCAAAACAAATTTAAGGTTATATAGAAATATATTATTCATAATTATTATTATATTACACTATCAAAGTACATTTTTTATTTTTTTTTATTCTACTAAATAGAACAAAATCCGTATCTATGGGATTTTCAGTTGTTTTTAATGTCACCTTTCCTCGGGACATTGTAAATTTCCACTAAACTATTTTCGCGATTGTAAGAAGTTGATTTTACTAAAATAAATGTTGTTTTATACTCGACTAGTACTTTACTGGTAATTCAATCTTTAACACACTCACTCTCTTAGATACAAAAATCCAATATTATCTGTTCCTTATTTTGTTAAGAACACAGACAAGAGGAGTTGTGCTGCCACCAAGTCAAATTGGTACAGTATTTCCTTCAATGAACTGTCTGATAAAACTGCAAAATCTTCAATTTGGATGTGTAGCCTGATGTCCTTTCACAGATTACTACTCGGTAATTTACTCGACAGTTTTTACAAAATGAAACCATAAGTGCTTTGTTCACTAGCAAACTGTGCATCATAACATTTGATAGTCCCCATTATCCTTCACGTTAGTGGAGCAGGAAATGTGAAGCTTCCTCATCCTGCTTGTGTATTGGTCTCACTAAGTTAATGGGTGATCTTTTGATAGAAAATAAAGCTTAAATAAAATGTTCCATCGCTCCCCTTGAAACAGTTGCCCTTAGGAATGTGTGGGATGCACAAACTGCCGTTCACAGGATAAGTATTGGGTGCACAAACTACCGCTCACAGGATAAGTATTGGGTGCACAAACTACCGTTCACAGGATAAGTATTGGGTGCACAAACTACCGTTCACAGGATAAGTATTGGGTGCACAAACTACCGCTCACAGGATAAGTATTGGGTGCACAAACTACCGTTCACAGGATAAGTATTGGGTGCACAAACTACCGCTCACAGGATAAGTATTGGGTGCACAAACTACCGCTCACAGGATAAGTATTGGGTGCACAAACTACCGTTCACAGGATAAGTATTGGGTGCACAAACTACCGCTCACAGGATAAGTATTGGGTGCACAAACTACCGTTCACAGGATAAGTATTGGGTGCACAAACTACCGCTCACAGGATAAGTATTGGGTGCACAAACTACCGTTCACAGGATAAGTATTGGGTGCACAAACTACCGCTCACAGGATAAGTATTGGGTGCACAAACTACCGTTCACAGGATAAGTATTGGGTGCACAAACTACCGCTCACAGGATAAGTATTGGGTGCACAAACTACCGCTCACAGGATAAGTATTGGGTGCACAAACTACCGTTCACAGCTAGGCAACAGCCCATCCATGTGTTCTGGAAGTACTTATAGTAACGATGAGTACCATTATACGTAAATGGTCACAGGATTGACGTAAAAGCCAATTAGAAAGTAGACATTGGTACTATTGAATTTGGAGAAACTGGAAAAGGTTATATATTTATAATGCAAAGACAGCCTAAACTAACCTAACCTTCCTAGGTCTAATACTCGCTATCTGGCCTAATATAGTACATATATGCTATACTAGGCCTATCTTGAGATGATTTCGGGTCTTTTTAGTGTCCCCGCGGCCCGGTCCTCGACCAGGCCTCCACCCCCAGGAAGCAGGATGTGACAGCTGACTAACACCCAGGTACCTACTTGACTGCTAGGTAACAGGGGCATAGGGTGAAAGAAACTCTGCCCATTGTTTCTCGCCGGCGCCCGGGATCGAACCCGGGACCACAGGATCACAAGTCCAGCGTGCTGTCCGCTCTGCCGACCGGCTCCCTGGGAATGTTTAAGTTTTTTTTTTTTTAGCACACTTAAGTTGATTTTGGGAGACTATAAAATTAACAGTACTAAATTCCATCTAATTGCCTGTTATGTCATTATATGTACGACGGTCCACATAGTTACAAAAAGTACTATCTAAACAGGAGGATAGGCAGGATTATTGGATGGAAAAACTTCCCTTCACAGGACAAGTATTGGGTGCACAAACTATCTAATCTGTGACTGTTGGTAGGGTCGTTTGGTCGTTACTGGTAACAACCTCAGTGCTCTTAAGGACAGCCTGTGCCCTTGGCCTTCCTCCGGGCGGAAACGGCTCTGGCGAGGTCCGACCTCATATGTCAGGCAGCGAGCAGCCGCGTCCAACAGCCTGGTTGATCAGTCCAGCAACCAGGAGGCCTTGGTCGACGACCAGGCCGCTGGGACGCTGAGCCCCGGAAGCACCTCAAGGTAACCTCAAGGAGGTTACATATTGGCCGAGCAATAATCGAACGCCACCCTGCAGCTCTTTATTGTCCGAACTGCATTGGTGAGTACAGTTCGAACAATCTTATAGTCGTTATATCCTTGTGGAAAGTTGCATCTTGCCGACCGTCCCTCGCGGTCACTTGTCCAGTGATAGAATTCTTGGTGAATCCGATATCTTTGATATCGTTCGCTTTATGCGCTGTTCTTGCATTGTCATCCTTAGTGATATTTAGCGCATTTAAATATTCTGTGTCGCTGGTGGTGCTGCACTGTCTCCCCGGCTTGATGCCTTCTTTTTGTAATTACTTATAGACTCACAGGACGAGTATGGGGTGCACAATATACTTCTCACAGGACGAGTATGGGGTGCACAATATACTTCTCACAGGACGAGTATGGGGTGCACAATATACTTCTCACAGGACGAGTATGGGGTGCACAATATACTTCTCACAGGACGAGTATGGGGTGCACAATATACTTCTCACAGGACGAGTATGGGGTGCACAATATACTTCTCACAGGACGAGTATGGGGTGCACAATATACTTCTCACAGGACGAGTATGGGGTGCACAATATACTTCTCACAGGACGAGTATGGGGTGCACAATATACTTCTCACAGGACGAGTATGGGGTGCACAATATACTTCTCACAGGACGAGTATGGGGTGCACAATATACTTCTCACAGGACGAGTATGGGGTGCACAATATACTTCTCACAGGACGAGTATGGGGTGCACAATATACTTCTCACAGGACGAGTATGGGGTGCACAATATACTTCTCACAGGACGAGTATGGGGTGCACAATATACTTCTCACAGGACGAGTATGGGGTGCACAATATACTTCTCACAGGATGAGTATGAAGCACAAAATATAAATAAGGTTAATAATGCCTTGGTTAACACTAATACGGGCAAGAGTAGAGTATTGTAGGCTGTTACAGACCGTAAACAAAGTGCAAGAGTGGACGGAGAAATGGTTGCTAAATTTAGACCCAGCAAGTGTAAGATAATGAAGATAGGGAGAGGGGGAGGCTATGAAGACACTACCGAGAAGCTGGCAAGTATAACTACTTTTGTAAACTTACTTTTATGAAGGTCCGTGGATCAAAGTTCTCGCGGCCCGGTCTCTGACGTGCTCACCGTGGGGGATGGCAGTTCGAGTTTCCTAGTGCCTAAGTGAATGAAATGTTTAGTTCCACGATAGTGTGGTTGAAAATTTACACGACAGGCGTGGATCACTAATTCCTAAATATATATATATATATATATATATATATATATATATATATATATATATATATATATATATATATATATATATATATATATATATTTTGTTAAAATCCTGAACCTAGAACATAAACCACAATACCTCCAATAAAATTATATTACAAAGCACCAATGCACAGTGAACATAAAAAAAGCAGAAAGAATAATGAAAGACATAATCCGTAAAGGAGTAAAAAGCACTACTCCTAACCAAAACACAGACCTGATCATATTCTACAAAACCAAGAAGACTTCCGACCTCCTTATCAAAAACAGATCGAAGCCGACGGAGAACCCTCTACAGCAGTCAAGCGTTGTATACATGTTCACTTGCCCCCACGAAGGATGTAACCTTCAATCTAAGTTCATAGGTATGACGTCGACCAAGCTGACGAGGCGTTTGACCTGTCATCTTCAATCCAGTGCCTCCAGAAATCACAAATGGGCGGCTAAAATCTCTACCATTGTCATGAACAAATCCATTTGCAAATGTCATTGCAAATCCATGAACAAAGCCATTGCGTACCATTGTCATGTTAGCACAAATCTCTCAACACTTCTATCCACCCTACTCCGCGCCCCCCACCAACCCACTCTCCCTACCCACAAATTTATCCAAACTCCCATTGCCTATCCTCCCACTCATGTCTCTCCCTCACTACCTGCCCCTCTCCCTCCCCCTGGCCGGAGCCTCCCACCGCCACTTCAGAAGCTGTGTGTGTGACCCTCACCACAGTGGTCGCTCAAGGACTGTTACACACCTGCTGCTACCCTCCAGACGAGGCCCGGCTCATCATCATCATGATGAATCAACGTGGCTGCAACACC